ATCCCTTTCAATCGTTAATTACTCTCAGAAATAATTGAGAACGATGGGATTAATTAAAAGAAATTTGCCAATACAAATTCACAGTGAGCGATATTTAAAGGATTACTGTCTTTTTTAAACTCTTAAAAGTTCTGATTTAATTATACCTCAATTATCCCACTTTTTCTGTGGCCAAATGTCCAATATTCAAATGCGCCTCTCAAAGGTTGAGAAGAAGGAATTGTATGAAAATCGAAAATTTGAAAAGTGAAAGCGCAGAATTTGCATAAGGCGGAATTTGACTGAGAAATATCGAAATGTGAATGGAACGGCGGGAATTGATGAATGGATCAAACAAATGATTGGTTAATTTTTAAAATTTGACGGGTCGCTCCAACTTTTGATCTCACCGCCAAGTTTGCGGAAAGAGATTTACATCTACAATGGTCAAACCTTACTTTTACTTTTCTCCAAGCTTCAAAGTTTTTGCATACACGGAATTGAAATTCGAATTTATTTGTAACTCACTGAAACGTTACATTTTATAATTGAAAAAATAAATTTACAGCAAAATTAACGATATACAGTGAAAATCGCCTTAAGATGCTTTTGAAAACTTTTAGATGAAATTTGAAATCTAAAATTTGCATTACTTTATGCGGAAAACGACGTGTTCCAATGATTTTTATTTCACGCGCACCACTTTAATCAGATATCTTTTAAGTAATTAACTAAAGTGAGGTTTATTTTTACCACCAAACCTTATTTCAATTAATTCAAAACTGACTGCTCGCACATATTGGGGAAATGACCGGCAAAATAATATAGCATATGAGAAATTCAATTTTGATTGAAACGGGGAAGATTGAACCAAATCTTAAATGTTCTTCTCATCAATACCCGAGAACTCCCAGAATCATTGCTTGAAGAAAGATGCGATAATTTAACAAAAGTTCGAACTCTCCTCGCTATATCTGTAAAGAAGCGATAAGCGTCAGTAGCATTTTTTATTGCGAAAAAAGCTTTCGAATTGAAAATTCTTGGGAAAATGTAAAATAGCAAAAGATCCTTTGACATAATAATTACTTTAATGCTTTCAAACTTTCCAATTTAAATGCTAAATTATGCAAACTCAAACGCCGCTTCAGTCAAGTGTCATTTTGAAACAGATTTCTATACAAATTTGTGTGACATCGTTGAAACAAATTCAAATAATGACACATTCAAGCAAAATTAGCCAATTCTTTAGTACCGAGGCAATTAGAAATATATCGAAAAGTTACTTTAGTGAAATTGTTGGTAAATTCACAACATTCAGAATGGAAAAGTAATGGATTGAGTTACTGTCATTGGGTGAATTAATTGAATGATTAATAAATGAATTTTGAAATGAAACCTTTCCATAAAAGGAGAATTGTCCCATTTTCAACATTTATATACTATCAAAGCTGTTTAAGCAAAATTTGGCTAAAAATGGAAGAATCGAAACTTTTGATTATACAGCTTGCGAGTGAGCATATATGAAATGAGCATTTTTAATTCTCGAAGAATTTCATCACTTATGCCTCTCTTCCTCCTCATTTAAATAATTCATTCAATAAATAAAGGTTAATGAATTGATTGAAATAATCAAATATTCACAATCATTTATATCGTACTCAGCAGATTTCTATAAAAGGAGATTGCTAATTTTGATGTATTTGCAATATGAATATCAAATACCGAATGTGATAATTAAATGTTAATTTTTGATGTTGCTTAATTATTAGCTACTAAATTATTGTTCATGTTCTGAATTTGTATTAGAAAGGTTATATTTATGCCATAAATTATTACTTTTTCATTACTTTTTTTAAAATTTTAACTCACCAAGAATGATGATAATTAAGAAAAAGGATCAATATATATTCCTACAAATCTTCCTAATTTTTGTTGTAAATCTTGAAATGGAACTTAAAAATACTTGCTTGATAAGTGTGATATATTCAGTTATAACTTATATAATCAAACCCTGCAATATAATTTGTTTTAATTTCACGTTAATTTTTCAGTTTCGTTGCTTTAATTTTTTATAATTTATGCCTTTTAATTGGTTTATATTTACTTAAAGACAGCATACTGGTTGAGAAAATCACGATATTATCACCAATTAATTATCGCAGAGAAAATATGATCATTTTTTACTATTTATTTTACAAATAAATTTGAGGCTATAAGAGTTAGAAATGGAAATATTTTAAGATAATGAATGGAAAAAAATTAAGAAAAAAAATAACGATTGAAATTTATTAAAATTCAAAATTGATGTTTTTTCTTTTTATCAGAAAAAATTTCTTTTTATCAGAAAAATTCAAAAAATTTTTTATTTCTTTATCAGAAAAGCTTTTTTTACAGAAATTTACGAAATAATTGATGTAGCTAATCTTATATATTTCATCGAAATTTCTCCTAATCTCATATTCCATCTTTATTTTATGCTGATTAGAATGACATGTATGTGCTGATCTATGATTGCATCACTGATAATTGATTAATTAATCTATTCGAAATAAACAGATTAATTCGTTTGTTTGAAGAATTTTATTAAAGAATACTATATAAATAGTCATGAATCAAATTCGAAAGTCGATAGCAAATTTGATAGCTTATTGCAGTTGTATTCAATCAAATTAAATTCTTTTTACAAAATGAAACTAACTAGATTTAATAACTTATTTTATGTTATACTGATGATTCTTTTTTGTAAAAATAAGGGAATTGACTGATTGAAATATTCTATGAATCATTTTTATTTATAACTTTCTGCTGCGATTTACCAAAATGTAACAATTCAAATATGGTTGTATTTTGGTGAATTACAGTGGAAACATGCAAAAAAAATGAGAAATTAATGCATGAAATGATTCATTTATGTTCATTTTCAGCAGTCCGCAAATATTTTCATCATTTTGCCTTTTTATCAATTTCAAATTATTTCCTATAAACCTGTTTTGATCATTTTTGAGAATGGTTTTAAAGAAAGAGCAATGACATTTTTCAATTAATTGAGAAGGTACGAAGAAGTTTATATTGTTCGTAAAATGAATCGAATTCTTGTCTTTACCAGTGTAAGTACTTGAATATATGCAATCGAATACTTTTATCATACATTACTTGATGTATTCCAATTTGACTTTATTTTGTTTTTTTTTTTCTTGTGATTTAGGTATAAATCTTCTAAATAATAATAGCAAAATTTTCATTTCATTATATTATCAAACTACAGAAGCTATTTTTCTTTCGTAATTTTTATTTAATTTTATAAATAGGAAAGGTTATTGAGAAACGTTATTTAAATTACAAGGAGAGGAAAAAGATAATGATAGTCTTTTTGGGAGGCATTTTATCTTCAGCTTAATCAATTGACCTTCCTTTCACACAATTATAAAAGTCTCAGTTTAAGAAAAAAAGTTATTATTTTGAAAGGCGTATTTCAGTACCATTAATAATCTTTTTTGAAAGCATAATTGAAGATCAATCGATTGACTTTTCTTTTTAAATAATTATAAAAGTAATGTATGTTTTGATAAAGTTGTTTAGAGTAATAAATTCTGTCATTATTATTATCCAACCAGTTAATTAAAATCATTTTACAATGTTAAAATAGATAAAAGAAACTAAATCTATTTTACAACTATTAAAATAGATTTAGTTTATGGTTAAATTTAAAAAAAAATTTACGAATGTTGATAAGTGTATAATTGTAAATTTTCGATCAGATATTGATGTCAACCGTTATGTACGTGGATACGAGACGGCAACATAAATGTGGAAAGAATGAGATTTGGGCTGATTGCAAAGGATGTGAATTAAAATGCGGTGAAAGCGAATTTGTTAGTAATTCAAAACAAAAATTAATAAGTTTATCAGTTAATCACTAAATAGATTAAACTAGTATTTATTCACAATACAAATGATAAATATAGAATATTTCTGCTTATTTTATTCATTAACAAAATAATAATAATGTTATGTCATAAATGACAAAATTATCACTATTTCATTAATATAAATTAATCATGCACTTCAACATTTTAATCGTTAATTTCCATATGAAATTATCCACTTCATTATTTTTAGACGTTTGTTTTCACTTTTTAAGTAGTAATTTATCATATAAAATGGAAACAACAATAGAATTAATAAAGAAAAAGCTTTTTTTCCAAGATTTCTTCTTCATTAATTATTTCATTAATATCAATTAATCATACACTTCAAATTTTAATCAACATTTTAATGTTGATTAAAATGTTGAAGTGTATGATTAATTTATATTAATTAAAAAAAAGTTAAATTTGATGAGTATGAAAATAATAACAATAAAATAAATGATTATGTTACTGTAATTTCATTGATTAAACATTTTAATAATTAAATTTTTATTTCATTTCTTTCAGACTCCATGTTTTCTAATATGTAATCCGGCTGGTTGTTACTGTCCGCCCGGATTCAGAAGAAATGCAAAGAAGGAATGTGTTGCCGTATCTGAATGTTGGAGGATGTCAAATAAAACAGAATCAAAGTTTTCTTGAACATTAATTGCTAATGCATCTTTGATGAAATGTTTAATCAATGAAATGACAGTAACATAATCATTTATTTTATTATTATTATTATTTTCACATTCATCTTTTGATGGAAGACCATTTATCAATAATTGATTAAACACTTTCTAATACATATGTAAATTTAATATTTCATATATTCGATATCGAATTCAAAACTCCGATAGTTATCACAAGAATGATCTATCTATACAAATGAGAAAATGTAGCACTAAGTTATTTATCACTGAGTAAATTTGTGTGAGTTTGATTATGCACTCTTATCTACTGTATAAAAGCATAGAAAATTATTCAACTATTCTATAAATTTTATCTGTCCCAAAAGTTGTATACATCAACAGATATTGATAAATCATTTTAAAAAGCCATAAAATTTATTTTAATTTTATCCGAGCAACTAGTTGATCTTTTTTGCCTTCTTCATTAGTTTCATTTTTAATGAAGTTTAACATTTTTGAAATTTGATTTGAATCGATTATCACGTATGATTATTACGATATGCAAATTTTCATGATAATTTTTTACGATATGATAATGATTATCACGATATGCAAATTTTCCAAAATTATGTCAAGTGAATTTCTTCAAATTTCAACCAACAATCATACATATACAGTTGTTTATTAGGATATCACAAAAGTTAATTAGAAATTCCTTTATTTCCAAGATATCCCGATACTTGTCGAGAAATTCTGGTAGTCTTTATATTTACAAGCAATCTAATGGAGAGTTTCGGAAATTTCGAAAATACATAATGATCGTTTGATGTGGAAGAAAGTTATAGAATTACAATTTTATTTTTTTCATTTAGAAAAAATCGACTAAAAGTATGAAGGAATTTCATATAGCATTTCAAAGGTGTAATTCAAATGATGCTATGCATGGAATACCAACGAATTTGAGACAGAATCATGCTATTGATGCTAAATCATTACAAATTCCCTGAACAGTCTCGAAAGGAAAGAGATTGCAAGATGTTTCTCGTTGTACCAATATTCTTTGTAAGTTAACTTTTTTGTTATATCAATTTACAGATAGTAAAACTTCTCATGAAAATTACTGTCAACAATTATCACCAATATTATTAATATATTATAAAATATTAGCATATATGTTTATTTATTATTAGCATGATAATAGTCAAAAACAAACTGTACTGTAGCTATCCTATTAACATTAATTTATATAATCCAGATCTTGGCCATTTTTTGCATTACCGTTGACGGAAGGCCTAAGTGTGGATCAAACGAAGAATGGGTTCCACATTGTGCCAGCGGATGTGAATTAGATTGTGATGATGTTGAACCAGTGAGTATAGAATTCTAATGTGTATAAGAGGATGATAAATATTAATACTTAATTTCTCCTTTGATAATGTTATGATGAATTCAGGAAAACGATAGAATTCGTACATGAACTTGAAATATTTCAATGATATATTAAAGCGTACTTTAATAATAATGCTCTCCGAATATAAATTATTTTGCGTAAAAATAGAATGTACAGATATTTTAGAATCACGAAAATTAAATATGACCTGACGGATATACTGCCATGGTATTACACGTTCAATGATACATTGCGTACTTTTCAAAATGGAATTCCCGAATGAATGTATTGATTAAATTGAATTCTGATAGAGCAGTTGAGTGAACGTCACTGATATTACCATGCTGTTATTGAATGTAATTCTGTAATTGATAAATTAAATTAAATTTTCAGATATTATGCTATAAAAAATGCTTTCCACCTCGATGTCAATGTAAAAAAAAAGGAGATTTTCGACGGAATAAAGATGGCAAATGTGTACCGTTGAATGAATGTCCTTTATGGAATAGCTCTCATTAACTTATTCAAATGTGAGAGTTCAGAGTTCAATCAAACAACCGCACTATTAATTATTATTTTCTTGTTTCCTAATAAACATGTTACAATAAACATTTCAACATATATCTTTTCTTCCTCTTTCCATTTCAATTTATCACTTATCAAATTACTACTCCATTAATCACACATAGAAAGAGCGAAGTTCAGAGAGAGAGAGGGAGAGAGAGCGAGAAAGAAAATAAGAATCCAAATTGATTACAATCAAACTGCAAGATTCTTAAAATCTTTTATCTTTATAAGAACTATTCATCTTCGGATAGAGAAAATTTCATCTTCCATCTCCTAATGTTAGCACATTATGTTTTTCTACAATAAACTTCCTTTCCTTTAAAGTTTGATGGAGAAGATTGTTTGGTGAAAAATATGAAATTAGTTTGCAATCTATCTAACATGCAATATTAAATGAATTTAGTGACCATCTTATCATGATTTCGGACATTACACAATCTCAAAATGACCGTATGTTTGCATTATTGCGCATAGAAGAAAAATATTTGTTGAAACTTACAAAATCTCGCAGTATCGAGAAATACTGATTGTTTTTCTTTCAAAAAATTTTCCGACGCTCGAAGTAGAAAATTTAATGTGCAAAAAAAATTACTCTGATTTTATCTGATTAATCTATTGATAAAAAAAAACAACGATTCGTTTGTTGTATACTCAGCTTAAATGTAAAAACAAATAAATCAGCGTGAACGTAAGTGAACAAACACAAACACAAAGAAGTTAAAGTTACAATAATTGGAGGAAAATTACAAACTAACCGGAAATTGCCACAGGAAATGTATCATAACCACGTACTGCAGTAAAGAAGACATGACGACTTGTATGCACGTATTGTGTATCTTATCAGCATACTTCTTTCACGTAGCCTGTCAGCAGTTCACATATTTGCTTAACGTGATTAATCAATACGTAACTGAATTTATGAATGGGTTACGTATATTGCAGCGCACATTCACACTTTTTCAAATATGCAACCGCTCTTCACTGAAAATTTGGCCACTTTAACGTGTAAACGGTTCCTGCATATGCTTGCGCGTTAACGTGTAACAGTCCTTACGTATGTTTATACGTTAACGTACAAACGTTCCCGTGTAGGATGAATGAACAGAAATAATTACAATATCCGGGAAATATTCTTGCGGGTAGATAAGTGATAATTTACGGATATGGTTAGTTACAGTGTATTTATTATTCAGATGTTTGAATCATTCTCGCTTTCTTTTGTGTCATTTCAGAAATTGGAATTATTGAAATAATACAGTGAAAGAAATGATGATTATTGATGATGACGAGATCATACCGGAAGACGAAGTTCGTTTTAATTTTTTTTTTATATCCAAAATGAAACGGTGTTTCGCTTTGAGAATGAAAAATTTAATCAAACTAAGAAATTTTCATCGAATTTAGAGCTCTTCTAGTCCTAATCATGTTTTCTTTTCCGCATTTCATGTTTTCCCACAAAAAATCACCGTTTGAAATCGATCAATTAACTGTAGAAGACATGTAGTTCAACTGTATATATACTGCTATTACGTGATATTGCAAAAATTATTGCTTACCAAAAGATTATCTCCTTTTATCTTTTATCAATTACCCTTTATTAGAAGAACAGCGATTAAATAAATAATCGAAAAGTTTCTGGCCTTCTTTCAATTTCCTGCTATTCTCTGATCTGTTCATTTCTAGTTTCATGCCTTCTTCATAATTTAAATCCTTATATTCTTCGGAATATCAGTATTCTATTTTACAAAATTATTCGTTCCTGTATATAGCATACTGCAAATCTTTCGATTATATTATAGCCATTTAGAAGAATGGAGTTGCTGTATGCATTTGAAGATAGGACACGTACGTTATATCGAGAGGGTGCACGCTATTTTGATCTATTTATTTCATTTTTAGAATCAGTGGCTGGAAAATGTTAATAAGGATGAGATTTTTCTGCACGCAATCGAGGATCAAATACTGAAAAAGTGGACAGATTGCTCGATTAGGAACAGGTATTACGTATTATTCTGTTTATCGTTGTATACTAAAAGAATTGATCAGGAATTCATAGTCACTCCAGAAATTCAGCAAAATTTGAGATTTTGAGCTTTAAAGAGCGAATATGTGTGATCAATGAGCTTCATTATTAATTGTTGTTTGTTTTTAACTCCTACCATATTTAAAGATACGGTAGGAAAGGTGAGAGAACGAAATAGGAAGTGATTGCAGGATGGCTACAAATGGCTTGGATTCATTTGATGGTCACTAACTGATGAGATGAGTCTGCGAGACAATAAAAAATAGTGGGAGAAAGAAGTTGATGATTGTTAGGGAAATGAGACGCTAAAGAAAGAGACACTTAGAAGGTAAATTGAGACAAAGTTGGTAGGTGATTTCATTTATAATTAACGTTGAATATTTTGCAGAAAATTGACAACATTTTTGCGAAGTACATATGAGAAAGAAGCACGGATTCATCCCCTCTCGATGCAGTCGTTATTACACAGTGGAAGTTTTATACTACCAAAAGTTGTCTTCATACCTCCTTCTCAGGTATCTCTGCTATCCTGAATTTGTTTTCAACTTATGGAACTCGAAGCTATGGTCATTTTGATCTTGACTACAGTTTAATAGTAAACGAATATTGTAATTTGTGATGAGTTAACCCTCAGTTAATATTTCACACAAATTTCAAAGCATTAAATAGTTCGTTTACTGTTTAGGTTGTCACATTGGTAGCCGAATATGATGCAGACATGACCATTCAACAATTGATAAAGATGCTTATAAAATCAGAAAAAATCCGAGCGCAGGAAAGAAGGATACGTTGCGCTGATAATTTGTTGTTGACAATCACTAATCAGAAACGCCCGATGCATATGACGAAAATCTTGTTTGAACTTGGAAAAGATATTGTTGCCAACAGTTTTAGTATAACCGAGAAAGATACTGAAAAAGTTCTTGCCACTCTTCTAGTTGGTTTATTTGTTTATTTCATGAGAGTGAAATATACGAAAAAGAATGTAAGGGAAAGAAATAATTTTAATGCTATTTTTTCTTTATTTTTCAAAATTATTGACAGTTCCAAATCCTTAAGCGATTTTTTTTAGTCGATATAGATCTGTTATGTGAACAGAAATTCATACTTTCCCTAATAATTGTTATCATTACTGTTAATTACGTTTTAAAAGAGATTACAGCCGATATTTGAATGCAATTTGTGCCGTTTCAAAACAGAATCGCGGGTTGTTCTTGAAATTCACAAGGAAGTACCACATTTTATCCGACGTAGATATCGTTGCTCTCACTGCTCCCAATTCTTCGTTAATTCCCGTAAAATAAGAAGTCATTTACGGTATGTTTTTTTTTCAATTCGAAAATTTAATATTTATTTGTTGTCAGTTTTATTGATACTTCAGAAATGATGACACAATTAAAACACTAAGTCAAATCATTTTTTATCCAATATTTATCCAATATTTTAAATTTTTATATTTTCGTAACGGCAAATCTGTTTCTGCTTTCAGTAAAAAACACAACGTGATAGCTCGTAACGATTACTGGAATGCGATATTAGAATGTCCTTTTTGTGCAGTAGTGTGTAACAGCGAGTTGAGCTTAAAGAAACACAAAAAGCTCTGCCGTTTTGCAAAGACCGGGTATGGATTTCTATATAGCTTACTTGCATGATGAACAAACTGAAAAAGTAAAATTAAGTACAGTTTTGCCATAAAACCTTGTGATAATTAGAAATGACGGAATGCAAAAAGAGCAGTATTGCAGATTTACTATGCTTGCAACGAAAAAGCAAGCTTCATGTGCAATCAGTGAAAATATGTGGAATACAGGGACTTTTTGCGATCTATCGCGCCAGAAATTCGAACACTCTACTTCGTTGGTATACTTTTAAATATCAAAAGATGATCAAGTGTGATCATAAACAAAACGTCAATTTTATGATAGAAGTTGTCCCTATATTAGAGCATTATAAAGGCTAATATACTTTGCACAAAACGAATACTAATCTACTGATAATGTAGACAACGTACAGTGTTAAATTTATAAATAAGAAATGAATAATGTTTGGGGTTACTAAGCTTTTTTGTTTTGTCAATTTAATGCTTATGATAGTGACATAATTATGTACTAGACACAATTTATTTGATTTCCCGAAACAAATCTATGAATCAATAATCAGAATGTTTCTTTTATCCGAATTTCACTCTTAGTGATAAATAAATTAGGTGGCACTGGAAACATATTATTGCAGATTATTTTTTCAGCTTTGTAACTTATTCCATTAGCAATGTGTAAATTATTGGTTAAAGGAAATTCTATTCAATGGGCAATTTGAAGTGTAAGGAGCTAAATTTGGTTTTCTACCTTCTAAAATACCTTATTTTTTTGTTACCTTACTCATTTACAATTTACATCTAGACATCCAGCATGGAATTCCCTCTGAAAAAGTGAAGGCAGTATATCAGGTCAGAAATTTATTTAATTTCTATATATTTTTACAGGAGGAAATAAATCAGAAGGAAATTGACCTCACTCAAAAACGAAACGCACAACAGTGGATCCAAGAAGATTTTTGATTCTGTATAAGAAAAATGCGTCTGATTTCATAAAAATTAGACAATTCACGTAATGTTTTCGTATATGTATTATGGTCTAACTTTAGACTCTTTTGTTGCTGCTTGTCTTATCTTCTTTTTATTCAAATGTTCTTTTTTAACTTTGGATTGATTGATCATGCAAAGCTTGAATCACAAGTAGATCAATACCAGTGCTGATAGTATTTCTGTTGTTTATGAAATATTTTTCTTTGTTTAAAAAACTAGAGAATAAAATTAAATTTTTTTAAAAAAAAAAGTTCGCTGAATATTTGAATTTGCTGACTGTTGAGTTATGTAGTGTAATTGCTAACCGCTCTGTACTATATTGCTTCTTAAATATGTAAAATTACCAAGCTCGTTTCATTTCATTATTTCCCAAATTCCTAGAACTACCGGTCATATTTTTATGCTTTATGTTTCTCGAATGTAATGTGTGAAGAAGGAATTAGTAGTGTTTCAATTCTAACAACATTTACTTGAAAAGTAACAAATTTCGAGACTTTTGGAGACAAATTAGAGTTCGTCTTAACCGACACCCATAAAGTGAAATTCAAATATACAAATGTTCTGCAAAAAGATGATGCTCTATGGAAAAGCAAATGTTTTGAAATAGGCATTGTAAGAGTGTCGAATAATTTTCAATATGAAATATTTGTTGTGAAATGAGGTGAGGAGCAGGAAGTAATGCAGTGGAATCTCCACGAATGTTTATTTACAGGAATAGCCGAAGTTCAGGACAGATCCTCTCATTAGTGCAGTTCCTTTTGTATCGGATAGAATATTTCTATGGAAAAAAGTGGTAACGATGGATCTGCTTCTCGTATCATTATTTGTAATAGATGATATGTTCTTGTAATAGATGATATACTACAACGGAAATAGTGAAGTCTTTTTTGCATTGGTGAGCAATTTAGGGTACGTCATCCCAATTCCAATTAAGTATTCTTAAATTATGATTTCAGGAAAGAATTCAATATCGAATTGCATCTGTGAGAGATCAGAAAAAACTGTAAAATGTCTTACTTGTGGGGCAACATTTCGAGGTCATGCAGCACTTTTGTGCAGTGAACATCCAAGAAGAATCAATTTGATGGACATACGGTTCTGTCCCAATACTTCATGTCGCAGTAACAACTTAATGGAATTTGAGAATGCTTAGGTAAATCTACACTCAATGATTTTTGAACTTTTAAGGAGATCGAAAATTTAGACTTCTCGACAAATTATTTTAACTCTCAAAATGAAATAGAACTCTTCTGTAAAAGAAACTCAAAGCATTATAGACCATATCCTTCTGCTTGATCATTTCATACCTTTGATAATCAGGATAACTAAGATTGTCCGGCTATTTCAGTGCACTTAACAATCCTACGTGCCTCAGCATTACTCAATCACTTTTCACAGAATATTAGCGTGCTTGAAGTTTTTCATAGAAATATGCCTCCGTGCCTGAACATTACTCAATTACTACAATTCCACTAACATCAGGATCAGGTGTCTGTATATCGCTTCATCATTTTGTTATGAGTATTTTTAACATTTGAAATTTTTTTTTTATTTCGTATTATTATCGTATAATTGATAACATGATATTTTAGAAATGTTGCTATTAACATTAGTTCGAATAAAATGCAACCAATTCTTTTGTATTGCGTTTATTCTTAGCTGGCCCTTTTTGCTTTTCAATCTTTTTGCATTCTGTCTCAAGTGTCTCAAATTGCAAAATGAAATGCTGAAATGAAATTCGTCACAAGACTAATAGCATTGTAATGCTTTCCAGGCTATTAGTAAGTGGCTTGCATTTTAATCTAAAAAAAAGCGCGTTAATTGTCAGCTGTAAAATGCGTCATTTCCTCATTGTCTTCTTCCAATTATATCATATGCTTTTTTCCATCACTTATTTACAAAAATACAACTGCAGCTTTTCCAGAAAATGCAATTACAATTCTTGTTGGCATGCCTTCATATCATAATTTCGGAAAATCTAAATTGTCGCTGAAATCATCACCAGGAAAACATCCTCCCATTGATACTTCTTGTGTGTTTCACTAAACGTAATAATTTATTAATCTTCTGAGCTCTTTTATTTTTTGTGTTCTAAACAAATTATTTTTGTTCATAATTTTTGTTCTATACTATTGATGATGTCAATAAATTATCAACGAATCACAAACAAAGTTTTTGCATCCGGCAGACAACGAGAAACATTCCGAAGATATATTTCTATTCCTCAGCTTTACCATTTTATCATTACAAGATTATTTGCCAATTTTAGCTGAATTTCAGTTTTTAATTCCAACTGAAATAAAGCGGAAACGTCACTTCGACCAGAAGAAATAACAATTATTTGCCTATTATTCGATTGATAACACTTTCATCTTCCATATCCACTATCTTTCAATAAAACTTAGGAAAACAAATCAAACACTTCAATGTGCTATCAAATGATAGCATAAGAACGATGTGAACATTTAAAAGTAAATGAATTTTGCGGCATTGTTGAATATAAATGTGACAAGAATGAGAAGGTGCAACATTCCTTGTGACTTGTCATGTTTATAAAATGAAACAAGCGGTGAAATCATTCCATTTAATTTTCAAGCTTGCATCTTTTATGTCGCGCAGTCTTGTCCGATTTGTTTCAAATTTTGAGGAATATGTTATCAGCCTGTTGCCAGCCTTATATTGTTGCCAATATGACCGTATCCTTCACAGGTTAAAGGTTAATTTTATGGAAAAGAGAAAGTATATTCTCCATTTCTCTCCTCTCTTGAACTCATTATGATATCAATCGTCAAATATTTCCCAGATAAATTAGACTGAAAGAAAATTCCAGAACATTCTGCCAACTACAATCGAAATGAACGCTGAAATCAAACTGTCTCTTCTACAAAGAGCTGAGAAGAAAGAAAATTCTAGAACGTTCGGGCAAGTGGTGGGGCATTGCATCGACAATGGGAATACATGTCAGATCGCTCACTCGTCTTGCACTTCTTTTCTCCCCGTTCCTACTGCACTATTATGTTGCTTATCTCTTTCCTCTCCCATTATTCTCTCTTCCTCACAGCTTAGAGGTCAAATAACAAAACCTGATGACCTTATTGAAATTTCCAAACGGATTCCTCAGTGTTATCAGAAGAGGAGAAAAATCATAAACTTCTAGAGATCTGCTATTTGAATAGTTGATTAATTAGTGTGATTTGCCGCTGTTTTGAATATTACGCATTATCTCTAATAGAATTTAAAATGTTGTAGAAGTTTAATCAGTTTTGGGGAACATATTGTAATGTCGAAAACGATTAGCTCGCAAAATTGGAACTATCAAATTACACATGTTCACGTCCATAATATGCATTAAAAGAGAATAATTTGGTGTAAAATTAATATCCTTCTGTAATAAAAATAATTATTATCATTATGGATATTATTCTTCTATACTGGAATTACTACTTTATAGATGTCGAATGAACAAGGAAGAAATCAATTTGAAGTGAAATTAAATGTGCCCAATTTTCATGCCAATGATTTACAAGTGAATGTTCATGGTCGTGAATTGATCGTTTCCGGACATCATGAAGAACGTGAAGAAGGAAATGGTGGCATTGTTGAACGTCATTTTGTTCGAACTTATATGCTGCCGAAAAGTGCCAAGGAAAAGCAATTGGTATCAGAATTAAGTGCCGATGGTGTCCTCAAAATTACAGTTCCTACTGATGAAATTGCTGAATATCGAAAAATTCCTATTAAAGTGGATCCGAACTGGAAAATGCGCACTAATCCATGCCAAGAATTGATAGTTCGTGAACCGATACCACTTTGGTGGTGGTAATTTGGTATGCTTCAATTTCATTTGATTGAATATTACAGACAAAGCAATTTAATTTTACAATATCATCAATATCATTTATTCTCATATCTATACTTGAGTTTATTTGTTTTATAAGTCGAACAATTTGAAGGATTTACTAATTCTAAGAAATAATGGATAACTTATCTGGACCTCAACTTTAGAATACAATTATGACCTTTGAGATGAGTTCGACTTTTTTAGTGGCTGTACAGATTACTTGAGAGTGAACACTGTAATGAAGTTTTCAAATTTAGAAGTGAAAAGAGGGAAGGCAAATACGTGGAAGCCATTTATACTCTACAGAATCCTTGTTCGTTTTTTGTTTATGCTCTTGTAAAAGGTCGAAGAATACCAAATTATTGGATGCAATTTTTCACTTTTTCTTCTGCTAATTTAAATTAATTTGGAGTTTTTGGTTTTGCTGTCAATTTATGTTGGATGAAAATAAAATTTTTAACAAATGAATATGGCTTAACTCATCTATTACGTTTGCATGTTGAATTTTTCCAAAAAACAACGTGGAAATATGTTCTTCAAAATAATACCAATAACAACGGCAGTTCAAAAGTATTTGATGTGGCTAAATGCTTATCCCAATATGTTTCGTAGTTTACTTTAAATAAAAATTTCTCTGTTATGGCAAACTGATAGTTTTTACAACTCTTCGAAATAAATATGCAACGATAGTTTAACCGCACTTAAATAATTGCAAAAGAATGAACCAATTTGTAATTTTGCTGTAGGTGTTCAGATTCTACTGTTAAAACAACTGAAAAGAAAGTGCCCGGCAAATGACGATCCGATTATCCTTTCAAATAAAAAGGCACTAATTAAAAATGTCCTTTAATATGACGTGCTCTAAAAATAATAAAATAAAAACGTAACAAATCCTTGTAAAGGCAACAAAAACCTTACGAAGCTCTAAAAATAATTTCCTTACAATTCCGAAAACAATAGAATATTCTTCAGCAATGGACAGCGGTCAAATATCACTTTATCAGTCTTTTTTTCCATCATAAAAATGGAAATGAAGGTGAGGTAGGAAGTTTCGATCACTGGGAGAGTGATTATCTGATAACTCCGAAAGGAAATAAGGCAAGAATTAAATTTTGGAAACTGGAAAGACGAAAAATCATGTGAAAGAGAGTAGCATTCTTTTGTAAGGTTGTCCTAGTGATAGTTCACAATACGAAAAACTTATAATGAGATCCTTTACAACAAGAAAAAAGCATAGAATTTTAGCATTTTCACAAGTCAGACTTTTTGAAAAGAAAGTTGAACTGAAGATTTTGAGATCGATTAATAAAAGAAATTTTCATCGCGTAGCGCTATTTTCACTCCTTTGAGTACTTCTGGATGAATGGGCGTAACCGTCAATGAATGTACTGAATCAATCCATTTTCGATTATATTCAATAGCGGCCTGAGCTGCATGAATTTCATTTATGAATTCTACTTTTGCACCATTAATTAAACTCTTCATTACTTGGACGACTCGGAAATTATTAAAAACATTGGCAATTTCGAATTCATTGAAATTTGACGGATAACCAAAAACTTCAACAGTTGCTTTTACTGAAAATTTACATTTGATAGGATACATGCTCCCATCCCAAATAAATTTGCTTTATTTTTAACGATAGATAATTTTCTCAATAAAATTTATAAAATGGACATTCTTGTCAAATTCCAAAACACTTCTCAATTTCGATTTATCGTAAAGAAATGACTCAAAGAGATTAGATCAAATAAATAAACTCTTATTAGCACTATTTTCCTGTCTCTTCATCTTAAATCACTATATCACAAATTCTACTTTATAATAAAGACCTGAAATCAACAACCAGAAAATAAAAATAGTACCATTGGTATCTTGAGATATGTCATCGTCTTTACCATGGAGGACCTTTTGCACTGTAGTATTGATGTTGTTCATTGAAAAGGATATCATGTTTGTTGTATAATTTCCTCCTTCGCCAATCTGTAGACTGAATTTTGTAAGAGCCCTACAATAGCAACAGATTTAACCAAATTAATATCTCCCTATCAAAAATTCTTGAACCTTTCCAGAACAATGAACCTAAAAAAATATCACAGTATGAAAATAGTCTTGGTACTGTGAGAAATTCAAGAATTTATTCAAGTAAAAGTAAAGAAAATTACTTGTTTTCCAAAGCTACAAGTCGTGAAATACGACGATTAAACCACTGAAGCATGTTACCAAGTACTTCTTTAATATCACATTCTTTAAAATAAGTAATGGCTTTCTCCAACAGTACTCCTTGGCGTATCAGATCATATTCATCAGCCAGTTCCTTCATTAATTTATACTCAATTGAATTTGGTACTGGCAAAATATGAAAGACAACTATGACTTCAGGATGATCTAAATAACAAAATCATTTAAGAAGTAAATAACAGCAAGAAATTCCAGAACCATTTGGATTTCTCTTATGAACTTATTAGTTAGTAATGAATTCTGAGAAAGGAAAACATGGAAAAAAGCCAAGCGTTTAAGATCATCGTTAGAAAATATGAGGCTAAAATGGGCTAAATGTTGCAATATTATGCTACCTTTTATGCTTGGCAATTATTGTGACAGAATTATTTTTTGTAAAAAGTCAATACCCGAGAATAATTTATCATCATTTGTAACACTCTCTGTGGCAAGACGCTCGATGTAGAATATTTTGTGATAAATTGAATTATTATAAATAAGAAGATACCTCTATGAATAATGCCATATACCGTCCTAACTTCCTCCTCACTTCCAGGAGTTGTATAGAATACAACTTTCGGATCTTTATCAAAACGACGGCTGCATCCATATTGGATTGCTTTTTCTTGTAATGTGCTTGTAAGCCACAAAGTGAATATCCTTTAAGTTATAAAATCTAATTGTGTTTTCATTATCAAAAATACATAAAATAGAAAAGATTAAAGGATGCCTTATTATTAAAATGTTCAATTAGCATAGTACTATTTGGGTATTCTATAGTCTACCAGTATATAATGAAATTAACATATGAACTTGAAACTGTGTTAAATATTGCCGAATAAATTATTTGCCTCTCTTTTAATGTTTCCCATAGGAATTTAAATTATGGACAGTCGATATAAAATTAAAGTATTATAATGAAAAAAAATTAAACTACGATAAACTTACTGCAATGAAGGGACCGAATTTCTGTCAGGTACGGAACATATCAGTGCCCATGGGAAAGCGAGAGGATCATTCATGCTTGTCACCTGTAGAAAAAGAAATTTTATGTAAATTGATTGATGGAAAGAATAAAGAAGAGGAAACAATTAATAATGCAAATATTTAGGTATATTTATTTTGAGATTTGAGATGACATATATCTGGTATTAAGCCATCAGATAGAAGCTATTAGCATTAAATCGTTTCAATGTTATCTTCAAAATCTCTTATATGATGATACCATTGCAATAACGATGAAATATTCTACGAATTTTGAGGGAATTATAAAATATGCTTCGACAGCTATGCACAACGATACAATGAACACCACACTGACCCAGTGAGACTCTTTACATTACTAACTACTAAACAATTAAGTAACAGTGATACAATGAACTAAGGTCATAACAAAGTGATGACCTATCCAGACAGGTAGACAATGATGTAACCAGTTTGTGTCACAATACAGTGACCTTTGACACTCCTAACTGCATTAACTATTCAACCATCCGTAAAATACATCGCCGGTTAGTTTGATGTTTACTACAGGCAGTTTGAAATGAGAGTTAGGTAAAAGGCTTGTTTAATGGAATATTTCGGGTCTGATAATGTTTCGGAGATATGTGCTATGTTCAAATGAATGAATAATCGTATTTAAAAAAGCTTTCCATTGTAGTAATCAAAACGAACGAAATCGATCAGAAAGTTTATGCATTCGAAGGGATAAAAGCAAATATCAAATTTCGGTATTGTTTGTTTTTCTTAATTTCAAATATAATAAAATTAAGGCATACTCCTTAAAAAAAGGATAATTATATGATAGCGTGATTATTAGAGACAGTATAGTATTGACATTTAGAATCTCACATACACATATAGTAAAGGAAAGTGCCTTTTCAGGAAATATCGATACTTTCTTCAGTTTTACTTCGTTACAAATGTCGACAGTAAAAACTAAGAAATATCATCTAGCTGATGTGCTTTACGGGAAATGTGATAATCAACCAGTTATTGTTGAAGCTGTACAATTTCACGGAGTTAAAACTACTAAAAATGATGCATTATTAAAAGAAACTGGATATCTGTATACAGTTTCATCACTTCCGGAATTGATACGATGTTGCGATTTGGCTGCCAAACATCTTCGTGTAAGCTTTTCAAAATTCGATTTACTAATTATTATCTGTGATATAATTTGATATTACTTAAATAATATCATTGCTTTTGCATTGCAGGAAGTTGGCCTTGTGGACAGTGTCACTCCACTGATTGATACAGTAAATGGAAAACGGGGCAGATATATAGTTGATTTCATAATAAAAGAACCGAAATCATTCACTTTAGGTGTTAAGGTTAGTTTCATTTGCATAGATCGGTCATGTATTGCATTGTCATTATTGGTCAGATGAATGTAATAAATAATTTCTTATGTTAATTTTTTAGGCTGGAATGACTAGTCGAGGTGAAACTGATTATTCATTGAATGCGGGCAAAGAAAGTTTTGGAGGACGTGGTGAATCGGTGAATGCATATTATTCCTATACTTTCGAGGTTAATGGTTTGGTTTTTCATCTGATGAAGAGATATTCATTCATTATTTCCATGTAAACTAGGTTTCTATGTAAGCAGCTGAGACCCCAGAAATCTTAACAAATAATATTTGTTAAAATTTCTTAAATCTCAGCTGAACCAGATACTGTAATATTACTCTGATTAACTATATAAATCGAGTAAATCGATAGATTTTAGTGTCTTAACTGAATCACAATTACAGGGTAATCAAACTTTCAATATTTCAATGGCAAAACCTTTTCTGGGTTGGCAGAAGTATGCTAACATCGGATTCTCTTTGTATCGAAGTTTGGGGAATTTACCATGGAATCTTAGTAATATGGAGGAAATTGGATTGATACTGCAGTACAATGGTCAGTTATGGAACAGAAAACTTCACCATAATATGAAATTAAATACGGTGTGTTATGTTTACTGGATTGAACGTTTTTGTACTGTGGGAGTTCACTCTTACATTTTTACGTGAAAATGTTGTTAGTATTTTTAATCATATTAGTCGAAATTGTCAAGCTTTCACACACCACTATGAGATATGTGTTTTCTAGGCTATTTAAAATTTTTTAAAAATGTAAAGACAAATAAGAGTTCTTAGCGTGGGAGTCTTCACTAAAAAGATGAGATATTTATAGCCGTGACCAACAGTGACAAAGAGCCAGACGCAAATGAATTGCTTTTATCCAAGTCGTACTTAAGATCTGGCGAAAATTTTGTCCAACAGAAAAAGCAGCATTTTCGGTTCGTGAGCACGCAGGCTATACAATGAAGTGTTCAGTGCAGAATTCGTTCGCTTACGATACACGAGACCGACCACTTCTCGCAACAAAAGGTGTTTTACTGAAAGTTGCTCAGGAATACGCAGGCCTTCTTGGTGATGCAGCATTTGTCAAACATCAGTTTGATGCTCAAGTCAGTTCTTTCATTCATCTTTTCATTTTTCCTTAAAACATTTTATTTTATTTTTTCTCTTTAA